ACCTTGGAACAGCAGCTGGAAGAGCAAATGCCAGCACACCTGGAAGTGGGGAAAAAAAAGATAGCAGAAACTCTGGGGCCCTGCCCAAAGCCGCAGGGTGTCTGGATGTGGGGTAACAGTGTACCAAGAAGCCCTGAAGCAGTGGCAGAGAAGAGTGGGGCTGAGCGGGAAATTGCTCCCCTGGGTAGCTCATCTGAGATGGCCGGTCCCTGGGTCAGGCTGTGCAAAGGGGGCAGACCCTGGCAGGGGACTGGGGGCTCCTGGTCCCAGCTCCTGGCGTGGTACACACTGGCTTTGGGCTCCCAAGCAGCACAGAACCAGAGAAGGAAGCCAGCAAGTGCAGCCACAGTGCCGAAGGAAAATAAACAAAAAGTAACAGGCAAAACCCACAAGCAACAGTATCTCTGGTCAGAGGCAGGACACAACATGGCCATTGAGCAGATTGGCCGTTCTCACAGGAAATCCTGGGCTGGCTCTCACCCATCCCTACACTCCCAGAGCTGGGGGAGGTGAGGGGGGACCAACGACCACCACAGAAACAAAAAGCCCCAAAAACGATATGGAATAAAAAAAAAACATCTCCAAGACAATGCCTGTGGGCCAGAGAGAATTAGTATTGTGGAATCATTCAGGTTAGAAAAGATGTTCAAGACCAATCAGTGTTCCCTGATGCCACCAGAAGAAATAATTGAAAAGGAAAGGTGAGTTTTATGGGGCTGAAAGTCAAACAGTCTGCTCTTCCCAATGAGCTGCTGAAGTCCACCGGCATCCCAATGGATGTTCCTGTCTGTGTTCATCCAGGTACCTGTAGGGAGCAAAGATGTGGAACCCACCAGCCAGGTGTCTCTCCAGCATTGCTTACCAGGACCATAAATCACCAGGGCTCTGCCCAACGGGGGCCACTGTGCATCATCCAACGTGGATCCTCCCATGGGGGATGGAGCTGGAGCAGCGCACGAAGCTCTTCCCAGACTTGGGGCACATGCAGGGCTTTCCTTTACAGGCACCCCACGTGTGTCAGGTTAAGCTGAGCTCATGGAGAAGGTCTTCCCACACTCAGGACACTCGTAGAGCCTCTCCCCTGTGGATGTGCTGGCGTACCCCCAGGTGGGAGCTCTGGCTGCAGCCGTTTGCACACTCCCCACACTGGTAGGGGCAGTCTCCTGTGTGGATGTTCTGGTGCTGGATCAGGTGGGAGTTGCAACTGAAGCTCTTTCCCACATTCCAAGCACTCACAGGGCTTTGACCCTGTGTGGATCCCTGGTGGTCGATCAGGACAGAGAGCTTCCTGAACCTCTTCCCACACTCCTCTCACTCATAGGGCTTCCACCCAGTGTGGCTCCTGCAGTGATTGATGAGGTCTGGGCTCCATCCAAAACTCTTCCCGTGATATCTCTTCTCCATTTCCTTTCCAGACTGGGAGGATGTAAACACAGCTGCAGTCTTTCAGTGTCTGGCGTGTGAGCATTTAGCACCAGACTCTGCCAGGCACGGAGCCACAGGGACAGTGGAGAGACATTTACCTGCCCGTCACAGCCTCAGCTGGGCAAGTACAGCCCATGCTGAAAACAGCCACTGGCAGAGATGATTTCTGATTAATCTTGTCTGCCTCGCAGGAATGGGTTTGAAAAGAAAAACCTCTCAATTTGCTGAGGCAAAGAAGAAGAAAGGTAGTATTGAATAAAATAAAAAGCAAGGCCTCTTGGGACAATGGTTGTCTTTAAAAAGCCAAAGCCAACAATATTCTCTATTGATTGAAAATCTAGCTTTTAATTTCTCTGTTTTTCCTATCTGTTGTCTTCTGGAAAGTTGTGGTAGTGGAGTTTGGGGGGTTTTTTTTGTTTTTGGTTTTTTTTTTTTTTTTTTTTTTTTTTTTTTTTTTTTTTTGGGGATTTTTTTTTTTTTTTTTTTTTGGGGTTTTTTGCAGGAATGGGTTTGAAAAGAAAAACCTCTCAATTTGCTGAGGCAAAGAAGAAGAAAGGTAGTATTGAATAAAATAAAAAGCAAGGCCTCTTGGGACAATGGTTGTCTTTAAAAAGCCAAAGCCAACAATATTCTCTATTGATTGAAAATCTAGCTTTTAATTTCTCTGTTTTTCCTATCTGTTGTCTTCTGGAAAGTTGTGGTAGTGGAGTTTGGGGGGTTTTTTTTGTTTTTGGTTTTTTTTTTTTTTTTTTTTTTTTTTTTTTTTTTTTTTGTTTTTTTGGGGGATTTTTTTTTGTTTGTTTGTTTGGGGTTTTTTGGTGGGTTTCTTTTTTGTTTTTTGGTTTTTTTTTTTTGTTTTTTGTTTGGTTTGGTTTTGGTTTGTGTTTTTTTTGGGGGGTGTTTTTGTTTGTTTTTTGGGGTTTTTTGGGTGTTTTTTTTGGGGGGGGGTTTGTTTTTTTTTTTTGTTTTGTTTTTTTTTTTTTTTTGTTTTGTTTTGTTTTTTTTTTTTTAAGCAGAGATGCTGAAATACTTCTAGTTAAATAAAATAAATAGGAAATTTTCCCCTTCCCATAATCAAATTGTGTGGTTTGTCAACAGAAGGATTGAGACTGTAAGTCCAGCAAGCCTGTGCCATTCCAAAGTGCTTTCCTTTGAAAGGACAGCTGTCTTTTCCTTTGTGGATAAGAACAAATCAAAGCTATCCTGGAAACAGAAACTGTCCCTCCTTTTTTCCCTTCTTACAGGAATACAAATGTGTTTAGTTCTGGTGAATGGTTTCCACGTTGAGGGCAGCCCATCTCCAGACCAAATTCCTCTCTTTCAGTCTCCCCCACAGACACAGAGCTTGAGCTGACAGAGAAAAATGGGACCTCAGAAGAGAAGCAAAGTCTTCTTAAGGAGAACAGAATTGTTCAGGTTGGAAAAGAGCTGTGAGCTCATTGAGTCCAACTGCCAACCCAGCACTGCCAAGGCCACCACAGCCACGTCCCCGAGTGCCACATCTTCAGGTGCTTGAAATGCCTTCATGGATGTGACTCACCCTCTGCCCTGCCAGCCTGTTCCGGTGCTTGACCACGCTTTCAGGGAAAAAACTGTTCCTCTGTCAAACCTAAACCTTCTCTGGCACAGCTTGCGGCCATTTCCTCTCATCCCATCGCCTTTCTGGGGGGGAAGAGAACAATTCCCCCTTGCTCCAGGCCCTTCAGGGAGTTGTGCCCTGCTGGCTCCGGCTCAGCTGCTGTCACCCAGCACCCCCAGGGCCCTTTCCAGCCCCGGTGCCCGGGCGCTGGGCTCTGCAGGGGCTGCTGTGACCCCAGCACAGGACCCGACACTGGCCCTGGGGACATCCCACCGCCAGCCTCAGCCCATCTCTCCAGGCTGTTCCAATCCCCCTGCAGAGCCTTGCTGCCCTCCAGCACAGCAACACCACGCACTGAAGCCAAGACTCCAACTGCACCACACTATTTTTTTTTTCCATTGAATTCCTTGATTAGAGCAACAATCACCCACAAACCTCCCTGACTGCTCAGGCCCTGGCTGTGCTGCACTGACCCAACCTTCAGGGAAAGAAAGGATCAGGTTCCAGCCCTGTTCTCAGCAGTTTTACTCCTGGTGAGATGACAGCAGGAGGGTTTTGTTGTCTTTGCCTTGGGAATTGTAGATCATGGCTGCTGTTGCCCCTCTTCTGGCTGCCACCTGAATTTTATCAGTACAACTGCAACTGCCTCTTTCAATCAGAGCTACCCACAGGGCTTTCATGATGGGGAACTCAGTATTTTTGTCAAAGGACTCATGCTTAGCAGATTTTTAAATGCTCCCAAGTGCCTGAGCACTAAGCTGAGGACAATTAAAGCCACACAGGCCACATTCACAGTGCTCACATTCAGAGCCTTGTTGCTGGGGCTGTTGAAATAGAATCAATTTACAGAGGCCATCACAGAAATTGCCTCTGGGGTGTCAAATAAAATGAAAAAATCCACTGGGAGAAGGAAAAAACCAGAACTTACTGACCACTTCATTACTTCTTCTGAGCAGCAGAAAATGGAGATGACACCAAGCTGGGTGTGAGTGTGGATCTGTTGGGGGGTAGGAGGCTCTGCAGAGGAACCTGGACAGGCTGGATTCCCAGGGATGAATCCAACAAGGTGAGGTTTAACAAGACCAAGGGCTGGGTCCTGCACTTTGGCCACAACAACCCCTGCAGCGCTACAGGCTGGGGACAGAGTGGCTGGACAGCAGGCAGGCAGAAAGGGACCTGGGGGCACTGATGGGCAGCAGGCTGGACATGAGCCAGCAGTGTGTCCAGCTGGCCAAGAAGGCCAATGGCTCCTGGCCTGGATCAGGAATGGTGTGGCCAGCAGGAGCAGGGCAGGGATTCTTCCCTTGTACTCGGCACTGGTGGGGCCACACTTCGAGTGCTGTGTCCAGTCCTGGGCCCCCAATTTAGGAAGGATCTTGAGATGCTGGAACATGTCCAGAGAAGAGCAGCAAGGCTGGTGAGGGGTCTAGAACACCTGTGAGGAGCAGCTGAGGCAGCTGGGGGTGTTTATCCTGGAGAAGAGGAGGCTCAGGGGAGACCTCATCATTGCCTGCAAGTCCCTGGCAGGAGGGGTTAGGCTCTGCTCCCAGGGAACAGTGACAGCACAGGAGACACCGCCTGGAGCTGCACTGGGGAGGTTTAGGCTGGACATTAGGAAGTTCTTCATAGAAAGTGTGACTGGGAATTGGGATGGGCTGCCCAGGGATGTGGCAGACTCACCGTCCCTGGAGCTGTTTAAAACTGGATGTGGCACCTAGTGCCATGGTCAGGGTGACGGTGGTGTTGGGTCAGAGGCTGAACTTGATCTCAAAGGTCTTTTCCAAGCTGGTTAATTCTGTGATCCCGTCCTGCGTGGCCCCAGCTTTAGGGCAAACCCCCCTCCAATTCCTATAAACACTCCCAAATCCTCCCCAGCCCTAATTTTTTTGCCCCAAATAACAGTAAAATCATTGAGTTTAGAGGTCTTTGTTCAATTTCTTTATTTTTATGACAATTTCATGTTTTTGTAGGGGATAAAAATGGATTAAATAAAATCAAGCTCAAAAAAAGGAATTACTTGTCAGCATCATAAGAGCATCTGTAGGGTTGGGTTCAGTGCAGGGAAGAGCCTTTGCTGGAGGGGTTTCCATCCCAAATCTTGTTCTTTGCCCAAATCCATCACCATTTGGCTGTGGAAGACATCTGTGGGCCATAGAAAATCAGAATAATGGAACCACTGAGGCTGGAAAGGACTTCATAGACCATCCAACATTGCTTGATGCCACAGGAAAAAAGGATTGGACGGAAGAGCTGAGACTTTTAGGGTTGAAAGTCAACAAATCCACTCTCCCCAATGAATTCCTGATGTCATTCTGAGTCCCAATGGATGTTCCTGCCCCTGCCTTCACTCAGGTGCCCACAGGGAACAGGAGGATGTGGAGACCAACAGCCACGTGTCTTCTCAAAAGAGTTCACCCAGAATAGGGGTCACCAGGGCTCTGCCCAACTGGGGTCACTGGGGATCATCCAGTGCAGATCCTCCCATGGGGGATGGAGTTGGAGCAGCACAGAGCTCTGATAGAAGCCCTTCCCACATTCAGGACACTTGTAGGGCCTCTCCCCGGTGTGCCAGTGGGTGGTGAGGGTGGAGTTGTGCTTGAAGCCCTTCCTGCAGTCAGAGCAGCAGAAGGGCCTCTCCTCTGTGCGTGTTTGCTGATGCAGGAGGAGATTTGACCTGGTCCGAACCCCTTCCCACACTTGGGACACTCGTAGGGCCATTCCTCACTGTGGGTCTTCTTGTGGCTGATCAGGCTGGATCTATGGCAGAAGCTCTTCCCACACTTGAAGCATTTGTAGGGTCGTTCTCCCAAGAGGATCTTCTGGTGCTGGACTATGACTGAGCTCAGGCTGAAGCTCTTCCCACATTCCCCACACTTGTAGGGCCATTCCCACATGTCCTGGCGCATGTGGGGGATGAGCTGGGAGCTGCAGTTGAAGCTCTTCCCACATCCCAAGCACTTGCAGGGCCATTTCCCCATGTGTACTTGGTAGTGGATGAAGAGGTGGGAGGTGTGGCTGAAGCTCTTCCCATGTTCCAAGCAGATGTAGGGCTTCTCCCCAGCATGAAGCTGCTCATGGACCACCAGAGTGGATTTCTGGATGAAGCAATGAGGGGTCTTTGCTCCTCAGAGCACCCTGGGTTGGGTTTGGAACCCCTCCTTGTGGGGATTCCTTTGGCATTTCCTCCCCGTTGGATTCCCGCCCCTTGGAGCTGCTCAAAACGGCCTCTTCCATGAGGCTCTGCTGTGGGGATTTGTCCTCTCTGGTCTCTGTCTGCAGCTCAGTGCCTGGGGGAAGAAGGACAAGGAGAAGATGGGAGGAGGAGGAGGGAAAAGGAAAAGGCAGAAGGAGAAGAAGGAACAAGAAGAAAAAAGGGAGAAAGAAGATGAAGGAAAAGGGAGGAAGGAAGTGGTGGAAGGGAGGGAGGGAGGGAGGGAGGGAAGAAAGGAAGGAAGGAAGCAAGGAAGGAAGGAAGGAAGGAAGGAAGGAAGGAAGGAAGGAAGGAAGGAAGGAAGGAAGGAAGGAAGGAAGGAAGGAAGGAAGGAAGGAAGGAAGGAAGGAAGGGATTTGCCTCCATGCCAAGAGGGAAGGGGAAGGAGATCCCCCCCAGTCCATCCCTGGCAGGATGGTGATGCCAGCAGAGCTGTCTGCAGCCGAGGGTCATGCTGGGCTGGGAGATGGAGCAGAAGAGAGGGGGAAAGGGGCAGTGACTTCCTCCTCACCTGCCTGGCTGTCGTGTATCATCTTCCTCACTACCATGAGGAAGCATCCTCCTCCTCTGTTTGGCTAAGCCTTGGGAAAAAGAAGTCTGGTTTTGAGGGAAAAACAAGGGGTGAGCACATTGGCCTGAGGGTTCCTCCTGCCTGAGTCCATCTCTAGAAGCCACCAAGTATCTTGTATCCATGAAAAACCGCCAAAACACCAAGACTCAGAGGAAAAAACCCTCCCTGGGGTTTCCCCTTGTGGATGCTGCGGGTCCTGCACATATTGGAGATCCTTCCTCTGCAGGGTCTCCATCTGCTCCAGGCTTCCCAGGAATCCCTGGGATTCCCCCCACGCTGGGGTTCTGGGAGTCCCCCTTCTCTGGGCTGCTGAGGGTGCCATGGGTCCCCCTCTCTGGGGTTGCACTAAGGGATGCTGAGAGTTTTGGGGTCCCAGGGGTCCCTCCTCCCCTGACTCTCTGATCAGGAGTCTCAGGGTCCTCTCTCTCTGGGGTCCCCACTTTGGTGTCCCCCACTCTAGGCTCATCCTTTCTCTGGGCTGCCCCTTCTCCAGGCTCCCCTCACTCCCGGCTGTCGGGGTCTCCCCTCTCCAGGCCCCCATTTCAGGCTCAGGGACTCCCGGGGCTCCCCCCTTTTTGCTTTCCCCCTCTCAAAGCTGCTCCCCTTCCCCTCGCCGGTACCGGGCGATCGCCACGTGGCTCCGGGGAACTCCATGCCCACCCACTCGGCAGCCGCACCGGGAAACTCCAAAAAAAACCCACCTCCCAGGAACCCCGCAGGATCCACCCAAAAGGGATTTCCGTTTAGCTTCAGACTCCTACGAGACCCAAACATCGCTCCGCCCGCCCCGTCCCGAAAAAACAGAAACAGAAACCGGCAAAGAAATTTCGGGTGAGCTCCAAATATCCCTCCCTCCTTCAAAAAAATCATGCCGGGACGGCCCAAGTGATTCGGGGCGAGGTCTCTGTGCCCGGTCCCCTGGGGACGCTCGGGGCGATGCTCCCGGCGGGAAGGGGCCGCGGAGCCGGGGAGCGACGGACGCACGTGCTGCCTCCTCCGGCCGCTCCTCTTCCTGCCCCTGCTCCTCCCCTACCCCTCCTGGTCCTCCCGCTCCTCCTCCTCCTCCTCCTCCTCCATCCTCCGGCTGCAGGTGAGGGGCTCTAGGGTGAGCGCAGCGGGGACGGCACCCGGTGGAGAGGGGTGGGAGAGGGGCGGGATAGGGGGAGGTGGGACAGGGGGAAAGGGGTTCCTGATGAGGGGCTCACAGTTAGCCCCAGGACCCCCAAATCCCCTCGCTGTCCTGCCAGCCCCTCCCGGCGCTGTGGGGGCCGGGCCGTGCCCCAGTGCTGGCTCAGGGGATGCTCCAGGCTGACGTGCTCCACCTGGCAGCTGCAGGTGACCCCGCGCTGGGGGCAGTTTCCAGCAGCACCAGGAGCTGGTGGGTCCAGTCCCCACTGGGAACCACATCGGTGGCCACCACAGAGAGCTCCTGCTGGCCCTGGAACCACCTCAGCTGGATGTGGGCAGGGTAGAAATCCATCACGGAGCAGAGCAGGCGGCCGGGGCCGGGCTGCGAGCTCGAGGGCACCTGTGGGATGGACACGGTGGGATGGGCAGAGGGCTTGGGGACCCCCCCCAGTGCGAATCTGCGCCCTTGCACCACCTCCAAAGCCGCAAGGAAGCTCCAGGGAACGAGTGCTGCAGGACAGAGAACCACCCTTCTTCCATCCCAACTGCACCTTTCCCTCCCCTCTCGCCCCCTTTCTCGTTCCCCAAATCTAAAGACCCCTTCCAACACAATCTGGATTTCCCAGCCCCGTGCCCCAGTCTTTGGGGATCCCAGCCCCTTCTTTTCCTCCATTCTTTTACCCCTTGTGTACCATCCCACCAATCCCCAACTCCCTCCCCTGCTTGGTTTTGGGGGATCCAGGTCCCTCCTGCTCAGTCTGGGGGTCACATTCCCGCTTTCCCTCAATTCAGGCAGCTCCTGGCAGCTTTTTCTCTGGGAAGAATCCCTGACTTTTGGGACTTTTGGGGTGTACTTTAAGAGTGTGGCAGCTCTGTCTGGCTTTCCTCTCCCTGTTGTGGCCCCTCAGCTGCCCCTGGCACCCTGGCGGTGCTGGGATTTCCCTCCTGGGGACAAGGACATTCATCCCCTCCCAGGAGCCCAATGCCCGGCTGGGGCTCCAGCTCAGGGGGTCCTTGAGCAGCTGCCCCAGAACCTCCCCCAGGGTCTCCCAGCACAGCCAGAGCCGCTCGGCCTGGGGTCCCCAAAGGCCTCAGCAAGCCCCAAGTTCCTCCCAGGAACCCCCAACTCCCTCAAACCCCGCATCCCCCACATCCCCTGCAAGTTCCCCCCATGGCACCGGCCATGGCCATGTCCCCACTTGTCACTGGCCATGTCCCACCATGTCCTCACCCATGGCTGTCTCCCCACCACGTTTCCATCCCAGTCACTGGCCCCCACATCTCCATCCACGCCTGTGTCCCACCATGTCCCCTGGTAAAAAGATGAGGGTTGCTGTAGCACATAAGAGGAGAAACAGCATTTTGCTCTTAAACATTGTTTAACCCATGGTCTGCCAGGGAACCATGAAACCGTGTCCCATTCCCATCCTTTCCACGTTTGGACTGGTACATGAGCTACTTTCTTATTTCCTTTGTTATCTGTTTCTCGACTTTTCCATTGCCATCTATTTGCAAACAGCACTTTGAGTCATTGAATTTTCCACAACCTCCTCCTTTTTCTGCTAACAGATAATCTGATCCCATGTCATAGTGAAATGTTGTGTTCCTCATTTCAGTGGATTGGTCAGCAGGAAGGTCAGGAGCTGGAGCTGTCTGGTTGGTTATTATTTCGAGGACAGCTTGTAATCTAATGATGCCATTGAAATGATAAATAGTTCTGTGGCTCCTGATATAAATTCCTTAGTGTTCCCAGGGGCTGGTCCATGGTGTTGTAGGATTTGTTGTGCTGGCTGTTCATCTTTTTCCCCATTTTTAGGCGCTCCCTCAGGAGCCAGAGCTGCATCAATAGGCTGCTTTTCTCTAATTTAAACATCAAACACTTGGATTCCCAAGTGACTTTGCTGAACTTGTGGTAGCAAGAACACCCCAGTGTTCTAATACATCCTATAGGGCATAGACAGTGACAGCTCATGTTGGAGTGGCAGAGGAATGATTCCCCCCATTTATTTTAGTGAAGTTTTCCCACCATTCTCCATTTGCTGTTTCCCTTTGCAGCTGAACCCATTTCTGTTGCAGTCAGATATCCTCAGCATGGGCTCTGCCTTGAGCTGTGCAAATTCCATCAGTGCAAGCAGGCAGAGCTTGGGGTGAGGGGCAGAGGCAATCAGCCCAATTCCTCCCCCGCAGTGTTAATTTGCATTTCTAAAGCTGCTTTCCTGGTTGCCTGGAATGAAGCTTCTCTTCCAGAGCCATCCTGTGTCCCCCCCTAAAAGCTACTTTTTTTTTTTTTTTTTTTAAACAATGCAGTATTAACTTTTTACCCGTTTAAGGGTCACCTTTAAAGCTCTTCTAGTTTTTCAAAATGAAGCCTAAAGTTGAATGTCGAAGAACTCATACCAAAATTTTGCCATCAAAACAGCCATACACACACATACACAAACAAATCCGAAGCCATAAAGATTTTTTTCTACTTCTCCTACGACTAAAAACTGATTCTCACACCCCTGGCCCAACACCCCAAATCTAACTGGCAATATACAGGTAGGATTATTAAGAAAAAACATTATAATCGTGTAATCTTCTAATCGAAACTGCAAGAAGAACCAAAATTCTTCAACAATATTTCTAGTATTAGAGAATCAATGCATTAATTGATTCTGGTCAGGATGTGCAACAGAAATTATTTCATCCACACACAGCCCAGGTTTGCAGAGAAAATCATTCCATGACATGTGGGTTTTACTAGATTTATGCTTAACTTTTTACTGTCCAGAACCCATTGAAACTGTTTATTGTTCATTGCATCCAAGTTGCCGAGTTCTTATTTAGCATTTGGTTTCCTATTGGACCCGGATGTCTTCCCCTCTGCTGTTCATTAGGTGCACACTCCTGGATTTCCTTCTGAGCCTTTTCCAGAGCAGGTGTCTCCAGCTCTGCCGGGGGCAGTGTCTGGGGGAGCTGGTGGTTGCTGTTTGCTGCTGGGCCTTGATGATTTGTTGCTGGTCCTTATCTCTGTGGGTATCTTTGGAGCTGTTCCCAGTCTGTTGAGATGTTAAACTCTGTTGAGTGGTGAAACATCCCTTAAAAGAAACCTTTAAAATTTCTTTCCCCAAGGCAAAGTCAAACCAAGTCGGAGTAGAGAATTAAGCTTTAAAAGAAATAACCTTGGTGTATTTTCCATCACTGCAATCGCCGATGTCCTGGCTGGGTGTTGGGAGCAGCAAAGTGCCAAGGTGGGTGTGTTTCATCAATCTCTGCCAGCCTGGGTCTGGAACTGTGTCCCTTGAATGCAGTGCTGGGTTTCTTGCCAGCCCCTCTCCAGGCTGTTCAAACAGGAGGCTGGGTTAAACCCTTCCCTGTCCTCAGTTCTAAATCCTCCAGTGCCACTGAACAAGTTTCCTGCTGTAACAACCAAGCACTGCTCCTCCATTTAGAGGCACTTTTGGTTGTCAAAGCTTTAACTTGATGCCAGACTTGAACAATAAGAGATGCTCCTGCTGTCATCGGTTTTCTGGCCTCAGTTTCCATGAAAGCTGTGTCTGCACAATTCTGCAGACAATGAGGCCACTCTGGCCAGTGGGTTAAACATTTCAGCAGAATTCCTTTGGCAAGACCCCGTTTAATATCCACACATAATCCAAAATTTCTTTCCCTGTCTCAAATACCCACGGCAGGAGCCTCAGTTAATCTTCATTTTAACACTTAAAAATTCTGTCTTTCCTACTCGTGTCCATCCATCCAGTTTGTTGACTGGCAGGGTAGGAGTGTTGTAGGGAGAGTTCCCTGGCTCCAAAAGCCCTGCCTTTAACAGGGACTCAATAGCAGGCTGTGAGCCCTTCCTTCCCTCGCTTGGAACAGGGTGTTGCTTTTAGACACCACTTGTCCTGGTTGCTTGAAAGTAATTTGGAGAGGCTCCATATCTAATTGACTGTATTTTCCTGGGGCTGCCCACACTTCTGGGTTCACTTCAGCACAGGCCTTGCCACTCATCTGACACAAAGGTACAGCATTAGCCTCTGCTTTACCTTTTAGAATATAAATCTGTATTTCCACATTAGCCATCAAATCCCTTCCCAGTAAATGATAATCACAATTAGGTGGAAGTAGGAACCCATGCATTTGAAATCTGTCTCCCACATCCACTAATAGTGGTTGAAGAAAACCCACCTGCTCATTTTTCCCACTTACCCTCTGAATGATCAAACAACTTTTTCACCATTTTTCCGCCCCTTATGATCAGCTGGCAGATTTTGAGGCTAAGACCCTGCTGAAAAGCATCCCAATCCTGAGTATTTTTCTCTTCCACCTCTTTTCCATCATCTTTTTTCATTGACTCCTCCTGCTGCTTCTTGCCTTAACCATATTGCTGCACTCTCCCATTCACCCAGTCCCTTCCCAACACATCAACACCATCCATCCCCTGTTCTCTAAATCCCTTCTCGACTTCTGTGTCCCCATGCATGTCCATGTCCTTAATTACCTCTGGGAGAATATGCAAACTCAACATTCTCCCCAGCATTCTCCCCTTTTGTATAAAATAGGATATTCACGGGTCTGTTCAATCTTTTTCTTCTTCACAAAGTCCAGAAATTTAGCAGGATCTTGGCTGAGCAGCAGTTCCTGTTGATTAATGACATTTTCTGAAACCGATGGTTTCTCCTGTCACTTTCTTATCTACAAGTCCCTTGCTCTATCTCAAAGGAGATTCACACCATTTTTTTTGTACAGGCACTTTCATCTCATTATTTTCAACACGATGGGAAAGGGGGGGCGAAGCCATAAAAGGGCGTTCAGGACACCAAAATTGCGAGAGAGAGGGGAGGGTCACCCCCAAACTGAGCCAGAGGGAAGCTGTGATTTAGAGGGATGATGGAAAAGGGATAGGAGATGTGGATAACAGGAGGGGGGACAGCAGGAAAGGGGTTCCCATGGAGGTCACTTCATGTCCCCATCATTCGATCCCTGGAGCAATTCCCCAGGGCTGTGGGAAGGGATGGAGCCACACTGGGGGGTTCCCCAAACCCCTTGTCCATCCTTGGGGAGCTCCTTGGGACGGTTTCCCCCGCCCAGCATCCAGTGATGCTTCAGCTGTGGGGCAGAGGGGGGTGGGAAAGGGGGATTTGGGGTGGGCACAGGAAGAGAGGAGAAGGAACAGGAGGGGGGACAGCAGGAAAGGGGTTCCCATGGAAGTCACTTCGTGTCCCTATGATTTGATCCCTGGAGCAATTCCCCAGGGCTGTGGGAAGGGATGGAGCCACACTGGGGGGTTCCCCAAACCCCTTGTCCATCCTTGGGGAGCTCCTTGGGACGGTTTCCCCCGCCCAGCATCCAGTGATGCTTCAGCTGTGGGGCAGAGGGGGGTGGGAAAGGGGGATTTGGGTTGGTCACGGAGGAGGAGGGGAGGGGGATAGTCAAAGGAGGAGCAGGAAGAGGAGCAGAAGGAGAAGCACAAGTTTCCATCCTGCTGGTGACTAGGGAGGGGGAGCTCACCCCACATGTATCAGGGAGTCCTCCAGACAAGTTCTACTAGGGGAAGTGTTTGGAGTTTGCGGATTCCAGAATCAAGACCCAAATGTCTTTGTGGTCCCTGGTAGGATTTGGTTTTTTGGGACATTATTTGGATGTTGCAGGACCCCAAAGCTGAGTCTCAGATTCCCCTTTGGGGGATATTTAGGGGTCCTCATGGCAATCACCAGGGGAGGTGGGAGGAGGACATCAGTCTTGGGGACCTCTCCAGAAGAGCAGTGGAGTGGAACCTCAAGACCCCTGGAGTGGGAAAAGTTGAGAGGAGAGGGGTGATTCGAGTTGGGTGAAATCCAGCAGCCTGAAGAGTGGAGGGAAGGGCCTGGAGCTGGGGGACCCCTGGGATCCATGGAATCCTGGAGCAGAGAATCAGGGTAGAACGGACCCCTGGGACCCTCAAAATCCCCTGGGTCATTTGTAAGCAAGACCCCAGAGGGGGAACCCCAGGAGCCACAGCACTCCCATCAGCTTAAGGAAAAGAAACCACTAAACCCCAGACTGGAGAGACAAGAGGGGCTGATATCCTGTGGGGGTTATTTTGGGAGCTGAATTATGGTGCTTTGCAAATTTTTTTTTAACTCAGAACCCCTGGAGACTTCCAGAAATGTCCTCTGCAGGAGGAACCTGCAGCCCAAGGCTCTCACCCCTTGTTTTTTCCCCAAACCAGGATTTGTCATTCCCAAGTCTTGGGCTGATGGAGAAGGAAAAGCCCCAGAGATCCCCCACGAGGAGGGGCTGCAAACCCAGCCCAGGGAGCTGCGGGGAGCAAAGAGCCCCCCTGAGCCAGGAAGGCGGCCGGAGATCCAGGCAGAGCTCGGAGCTGGTGGAGAAGCCCCATGGCAGGGAGAAGCCCCACAAGTGCTTGGAATGTGGGAAGGGTTTCAAGTACAGCTCCCATCTGAGGGAGCACCAGGTGATCCACACAGGGGAAAAGCCCTACAAGTGTGGGGAATGCGGGAAGGGCTTCAGCAAGAGCTACAACCTCATCAGCCACAGCAAGATCCACACTGGGGAGCGACCCCACACCTGCTTGGAATGTGGGAAGAGCTTTGGGCGGAGCTCCAGCCTGAGGGAGCACCAGATGCTGCACACCGGGGAGAGGCCCTTCGAGTGTCCCCAGTGTGGGAAGAGGTTTCTGAGGTCATCCCGTCTCCTCCTGCATCAGCGCATTCACACACAGGAGAGGCCTTTCTGCTGCCCCGACTGCGGGAAGGGCTTCAAGCACAACTCCACCCTCCTGAGCTGGCGCCTCCACAGTGGGGAGAGGCCCTACGAGTGCCCCGAGTGCAGGAAGGGCTTGGTGCGCTGCTCCAGCTCCACCCCACGTGCAGGATCCACGCTGGATGATCCCCAGTGACCCACGCTGGGGAAATCCCTGGTGATCCCTGTTCTGGGTGACCTCCAGTGGGTGGGGGAAGGTGTTGGAGAGATTTCTTCTCCTTGTGCTGCTGTGATTTGGTTGGTAATAAATTCACTCCCTGCGCCCAGGCTGGGTCTGTTGTGCCCTTGCTGGTGCTCAGGGTGGGATCTCTCCCGTTCCTTCTCAGCTCCTGGGCCTTTCCTTGTGTTTCCTCTCCCTATGCAGCTGCAGAGGGCAGGGACAGAGCAGTTTTGGTGTCCATTCACATCCAGGCAAGACCAGCCCAGCCCCGGGAGTTCTGAGGGGCTTGTGGCGCACCCCCCTGCTGGAGGAGGGTGTCCCCCCTTGCTGCAGCCCCAGCCCTCAGCCAAGCAGAGAACGACCTCACCTGGGGCCTCACTTTGGGAACACCTGAGCCCCTGGACATCTCCATCCCCATTCTGGGGTGCATCTGGGTCCTTGGATATTTGGGACCCCATTTTTTGGGATGTATTGGGTTTGTATGGACTGGTTATGGTAGTGGGGCGGGCTCTGAGAGAAGCTGCTGGAAGCATCCTCAGTGTCCAACAGAGCCAATCCCTGGTGGTTCTAAAGACGGAGGTGCTGGATGCAGAGATCCCCCAGAGCCCCTGGAGCAGCCCCCTGGCACAGGGGGGTGCCTGAGAGGAGGCTGTGACCCCGTGCGAGCCCCACGGCCAGAGAGGCAGGACTCACCTTGTGGCAGACTGACCTCCGGGGCTGCAGCAGGGTGAGGGGGCTGCTGCCCATGGGATGGACTCACATCAGGGGGTTTGGGTTTCTCTGGGAGTTTTTGTCCCATTTGTGACCTAGAAAGGCGCCGGGAGCAGCAGGGGGTGACAGCCACGGGTGACTGAGATGACAAAGGGCTGGCTGCTGGCTCTGGCACAGCCCTGAAATCGTTTGGGGGAGGGCAGGGGTGCAGGGCTCGGGCAGTTTGTGGTGTCGGGCTCTTCGCTCCTGCATTTTCCTGCCCGTGCCTGCTGCTCCTGGGACACAGAGAGGGGCCCAAGCATGTCCCCTCAAAACTTCCCTGGGAATCACCCCAGAGCCCTCAGCCCTCCTTTGCCCATCCCCGCGGCCTCTTGTCCGTCCCAGTGGCTCCCAGTCCATCGCAGTCTCTCCGAGTCCATCCCAGTCTCTCCCAGTCCATCCCAGTCTCTCCCAGTGCCCCCCGCGTGTCCATCTCAGCCGTGCGTGGCACTGCCACCCATCAGCCAATCAGAGTGCGGCTCTCTGATGACTCATCAGTTGCCAGGCAGACCTGCATCCCCCAGTGCCGTCCCAGGTCCTCCCAGTGCCCACAAACTCTCTCCCAGTCCCTCTCATCTCATTCCCAGTACACAACCAGTCCATTGTCACACCTCATTTCACTCCGAGACCTTCACCCTCGCTCTCAGTGCTCCACAGTTCTCGCAGTGCACTCCCACTCCGTCTAAATGCCACACCACCCCTCCCCTGACTCTCCCAGTTCCCCCCAGCTCTCTCCCAGTGCCCATCCCACCGTGTCCATCTCGCTGGTGCCCTCGAGCTCCCAGCCCGGCCCCGGCTGCCTGCTCTGCTCCGTGATGGATTTCTACCCTGCCCACATCCAGCTGAGGTGGTTCCAGGGCCAGCAGGAGCTCTCTGTGGTGGCCACCGATGTGGTTCCCAGTGGGGACTGGACCCACCAGCTCCTGGTGCTGCTGGAAGCGCCCCCCCGGCGCGGAGTCACCTACACCTGCCAGGTGGAGCACGTCAGCCTGGAGCACCCCTGAGCCAGCACTGGGGCACGGGGGAGGCACTGGGGGGGCTGGGGGAGGGATTGGGGTGTGCTGGGAGTAACAGCGAGGGAGTTTGACAGGGAGTTTAAGGGAGATGAAGCCTGGCTTAAATTGGGAGAGGGGCTCGGGGGTCTGGAAGGGCTGAGAAGGAGTTTGAAGGATGTTGGGGACGGTGGGATGGGGTTCCAGGGGTCATGGTGGGAATTTGGGGCGTGCTGAGTGTAACTGGATGTGAATGAGCCTGGAGGGGCTAGAATGACATATGGGATGCAAAAGTGGGGTTTGGAATGAGGTTGTTTATGCTGGGAAGGGACTGGAAGAGGTCTTGGTGAGTCCTTGGTGGGGCTGGGAAGGGCTTGAAAGAGAGTTTGGGAGTCCAAACTCTCTTGGACTCCCTTGGAACCCCAAAACCTCTCACAGACACCCCAACCCCTGCTTGGAGGGGCTTGGGGTGTCTGTGAGAGGTTTTGGGGGTCCTGACCCCTGCACACTGCCCTGAGATGCCGCTGGACACCACAAACACCACGGCATGGCCGGCCGGCCAATTCCTGCTGCTCCAAAGAGCCCGGACTGAGCCCAGGACTGGGCAGGGCCGGGCTGGGGCTGTCCTGGCACCCTGGCCACTGCCTTGGCACTTCCTCTAAAAGTGTGAGAAAGGAATGTTGTGCCATTCAGGCAAGAGGACTATTTTCCAAGGAAAATTTTCCAAGGAATATTTTCCATAAGGAAAACAGGAGCCTTTTAGCAATTCCTGGGAGCAGACATCATTTCTGATAAGCTTGCAAAGAGCAAAACCCAGGTACTGTTTCCAAGGAAAGACCTAACAAACATTTCTCAGATCACACTGCAGCCTGGGGAGGAGGAGGGGGCAACGCAGAACCACACTGGGATCTCACGGGTGCCCATGGCCTGGGTGACACTGGCCTGATGTAAGCCACCCACCAAAGCCACTCTGTCCCTGCTCCCTGCAGCTGCACAGGGGAGAGAAAATTTAACCAAGAGTTCCTGGGTTGGGATAAGAATGGGAGAGGTCCCTCATCAAAAGTGGCATGGGCATCAGAGACCCAGCCTGGGCACAGGGAGGGGATTTATTACCAACCAAATCACAGCAGCACAAGGAGAAGGGAAAGACATTTCTCCAACACCTTCCCCTCACCCAACAGGGATCACCTGGAATGGGCTCACCAGGGCTCTGTCCAGTGGGGGTCACTGGGGATCATCCAACGTGGATCCTCCCATGGGGATGGAGCTGGAGCAGCGCATGAAGCTCTTCCCGCACTCAGGGCACTCACAGGGCTTCCCTTAGTGGTGCCTCTGTTGGTGTTGGGTCAAGTGAGAGCTCCTGGAGAAGCTCTTCCCACACTCAGGGCCTCTCCCTGGTGTGGATCTGCTGGTGCCTGATGAGGTGGGAGTTGCGGTTGAAGCCCTTCCCACATTCCAAGCACCTATAGGGCCGTTCCCTGGTGTGGGTTGTTTGGTGGCGAATGAGGTTGGAGCTCTGGCTGAAGCTCTTCCCACACTCACCACATTCATAGGGTCGCTCCCCAGAGTGGATCCTCTGATGCTTAATGAGGTCGGAGCTAGTGCTGAAGTTCTTCCCACATTCCAAGCACTCATACAGCCATTCACGTTTGCCAGTGTGGATCTTCTGGTGGCTGATGAGGTGGGAGCTGCACCTGAAGTTCTTCCCACATTCCTCACATTTGTAGGGCCGTTCCCCAGTGTGGATCTTGAGGTGTGTGTTGAGGTTGGAGATGCGGTTGAAGCTCTTCCCACATTCCTCACACTCGTAGGGCCGTTCCCCAGTGTGGATGATCTGGTGCTGGATCAGGTCAGAGCTTGTGCTGAATCTCTTCTCACACTCCAAGCACTTGTAGGGCTTCTCCCCGGTGTGGGTGCGCTGATGGCTGACAAGGTGGGAGTTGCGGGTGAAGCCCTTCCCACAGTCAGGGCAGTGGAAGGGCCTCTCCTCTGCGTGTGTTGGCTGATGCTGGAGGAGTTTCGTGGTGGTCCGAAACCTCTTCCCACACTCAGGACACTCATAGGGCTTCTCCCCGGTGTGGATGCGCCAGTGGACGTTCAGGCTGGAGCTCCGTCTAAAGCTCTTCCCACACTCCAAGCACTTGTAGGGCCGCTCCCCAGTGTGGCAGCGCAGGTGCCTGATGAGATGGGAGTTGCGATTAAAACGCTTCCCACATTCCCTGCACTCATAGGGCCGTTCCCCAGTGTGGATTGTCTGGTGCCGGATGAGCCTGGAGCTCTGGCTGAAGCTTTTCCCACATTCCCTACATTCATAGGGCCGTTCCCCAGTGTGGATCTTGTGGTGCTTGTTGAGGTCAGAGTCCCACCTGAAGCTCTTCCCACATTCCATGCACTCATAGGGCTTTTCCCCACTGTGGATCACCTGATGCCGAGTTAGGTGGGAGCTCTGTCTGAAGCCCTTCCCACATTCCAAGCAGGTGTAGGGCCGTTCCTCAGTGTGGATTACCTGGTGCCGGATCAGGTTGGAGCTCTGGCTGAAGCCCTTCCCACATTCCAAGCACTTGTGGGGCTTCTCCCTGCCATAAGGCTTCTCCACCAGCTCCGAGCTCTGCCTGGATCTCCGGCCGCTTTCCTGGCTCAGGGGGGCTCTTTGCTCCCCGCAGCTCCCTGGGCTGGGTTTGCAGCCCCTCCTTGTACGGAATCTCCAGGGCTTTTCCTCCTCCTCCATCTGGCCACGGCTTGGGAATGACAAATCCTGGTTTGGGAGAGAAACAAGGGCTGAGTGTCTTGGGATGGGGGTTTCTCCTGACCCAAGTCCATCTCAGGAAGTTACCAGGCATGTTGTGTCTCTAAAAGTCTTCAAACTACCAAGATTCAGCCCAAAATACCCTCCCAGGAGTTCCCCCTCTGTGATCTTCACACTTTGGTGTTTCGCGGGTCCCCCTTCCTGGGCTGATGGGGGTCCCGTGGCTCCTGCTCTCCCCCTCTCCAGGATCTCTCGTAGGGACGATCCGGGGATCCCGCAGCCCCCCGCCCGCGCTCTGCCGACAGCAACCACCTGCGCCCGTCCCCACGGCCCAAGGAAAACCCCCATTATCCACCAAGGGGCATCTGCGGTTTGGCTTTGGGCTCCTCCAAGCTCCAAATAGCCACAACCCCCCGAAAACCCGCCAGGAACCCCCCGGTTATCTGGGGCGAGCTTCCCCTCCCTGCTCACCTGCGGCCTGCGGGGGAACTGGGGGAGATCCAGGGGCCGGAGCTGCTGCGGACGCGGCGGGCGCCGGGATGGAGAATTCCCGCCTCCTCCTCTTCCGTTTCCTGCTCCTCCTCTTCCTCTCTCCCTCTTCTTTGTCCTGCTCCTGCACCGCTCCTCGCGCTCCTCATTCCCAACGCCGCCTCAGCGGGGCTGGGGGGACACACGACCCCCCCCCAAAATCAGGGCGGGGATGGAGCGGGGGGCCCCGGCCGGGCCCGAGGCCGCGGGGAGGGGCTGCGGCCGGCGGCGGCTCAGGAGCTCTGTGGGCAGAGAAAAGGGGGTGACACCGGGCTGGGGGCCCCGGGGGAAGCACACACGCTCTGGGGGAGGGGGGACACGACCCCCGGGATCCCCCCTCACCTTCTTGCACAGGTAGAAGCCGAGCGCCAGCGCCAGGAAGACGAAGCCCAACACGGAGCCCCCGATCCCCATCAGCATCTTGAGGGAGCTTTCGGCGGCTGGGCGGCTGCTCGTGGGCAGGATCCCGGAATCGGCCGCGGCTTCCCAGGAGGGCCCCGACGGAATGTGACAGGCTGGGATGGGCTGGGGCAGACTGGAACACCAGGATACACCAGGACCAGGACACACCGGGAATGGATTTGGGGCAGCAGGGATCATACTGGGATATACTGGGGCCACATTGACGGCTACTGTGATCATGCTGATGGCAACTGGGTGCTGTTGGGATATACTGGGCATGATTGGGATCATACTGGGACTGACTGGAATTGTACTGGGAATGACTCGAACCATAGTAGTGGTGAAAAAGCACAATTGGAAAAATGCAGGAGGCAGCTGGGATCCTATTGGGAGCAGCTGGCCCATGCTGGGGTAATAGTGGGACTGACAGTGTCATCCTTGGAGTGACTTAAATAATACTGGGAGTATCTGTGTGTGACTGGGATCATGCTGGGGGTAACAGGGTTTAAATCAGACTCATACTGGGAGTGTCTGGAAATTACTGGGATCATACTGGGGGTGACTGGACTCGTACTGGGATCATGACTGGAGCAACTGAGACCGTGATGTGGGCAAATAACATTCTAGGAGTAACTGGGTTCATACTGGAAGTGACTGGGGTCGTACTGGACTCCTACTGGGAGGGACTGAGATTGGAAGGAACCATACAGGGCCTGACTGGGAGAAACTGGGACCATGTTGGGGGCAGCTGGGATCTTGTTGGGAATGACTGGGAACATAAAAGCTTGACTGGAGTTTCTATCCCATGCCGTTCCTGGGGAGCAGCGGCAGCTCCACACCTCCAGCCTGGGGGTTCGGAGCGGGGCAGAACCGCTGGCAGCACCTTCGGGACATGGCCCAGGGCTGGGGGGCTCCTCCCCCAACTTCATTTTCTCTCCCCAGTTCAAATCATCCCCTCCCATTCAAATCCCCTCCATTTACATTTTCTCCCCACAATAAAAGTTTCCTCACCCCAAA